TATATATATCCTATATTAAATCTGCTTTATTAATTGCATTTGATTGATTACATCATTTTTATTTTTTCTTCTTCCTCTTCCTATCTGCTCAGGAATAAACGTTTATTATTATATTATTATTTTATTATTATTAGAGGGAGGTGGTGGCAATAAATATACAGCAATTTTTGTGGTGAATAAACCACGGATTAAAGATCGATTATATTGAAAATATTTTCTTTCTCTCTCTCTCTCTCTCTCTCTCTCTCTCTCTCCCTCTCTCTCTCTCTCTCTCTCTCTCTCCCTCTCCCTCTCCCTCTCTTTTCCTGGAATTACATGTAAAGCTGATTAAACAGTTGAACCGATTGAAAATAAGGATATAAATTATTATAAGCAAATGTTCATTTATATACATATATACATACACATATACGTATACATATACGTATACATACCATAAGCATATATATATACAAATAAACAGCAATAAAATAAAGGATAAACAGATGGAGGATTATTGTTAGCGAACAATTTGGATCGATGAAATCTGATTATTATGTTCTGATTGAAAATTCAATAGATTTCTGTAATAATTACTGAATACAACAACTGCGATATGCGTTCATAGGGAGCCATGCGTTAATTTACTCTTTTGACCTCTTTTAAAAGTATTTAACTTCAACTCTCTCTCTCTTTATCTCTCTCTCTATAACTTAACTTACCAAAAAGAAATAAAAAAAAAAACGAAGAAAAATTTCAATTACGTACATATTACAATAAGTATAATTATACGAGTATAAGTGTAATTTCATATTTTTGTTGTTGTTTAAAACAGTAATATTAAAATAATAACATAATAAAATTTCAAATCAACGTAAAAAGGAAGATGATTACTTTGACCAGTAAAATCATACGTTATAATGAATTTTCTTTTTGATTAAAGGAATTAAAAAACAAAACAAAAGAAAAAACTAAAAAATAAATCAAATTTAAAACTAATTACACGCGAGAGACGTAAGAAGAAAATAAATTAAAATGAAAAGAAAAATAAATCACGACTATCAAATATCTAATACATTAACGCTAATTTACAAATTAAAAATAAAATAAAAAAAAAAACACACAAATTTCTGACCGTATACGAATATCTGACTTGTATCATTTAAATTGTCTGATCATATAGTATAGATACCTGTCTTGTACTACTTGCACTGTCTGATCACACAGAATAAATGTTTATTTTCTACTACTTGCGTAGGGAACCTTTACACTAACAACCTCGGTTTCTGACTACATAAAAAAAACCTTGACTTATATTATTTAAGTACTATAAAAGAAGACACTCAAAGAGATTAATAGAATAATCGCGCGTTCTATGTGAAATAAAAATACGACGTAGAAAAGAGTGAGTGGGATTAGAATTGGAAAATGAGCGTCGATCATCCAACGTCCTTGAAATGCTCGAAAGAGGAGGGTTGGGGTGGGGAAAGGGCAATGCCGTCGGCATGAGATAAGAGAACGGAGAGGATGATTACACTTTTTTCGGGATGTAATTTACGTTTTTCTGGAAAAAGAAGGAACGAAAGAAAATGAGAAAGAGAGAAAGAGAGAAAGTGTGTGTGTGTGTGTGTGTGTATGTGTGTGTAAGAGAGAGAGAGAGAGAGAGAAAGAGCAATCGAGTTTAAGTTGTGCCAAGGCAAGGCATGGGAAGAAGAGAAGAAGAGAAACGGTAAAAGCAGCCTAAGCAACGACGGTCGCGCAAGAAAATTAGCAACGTTTGCTCCGCGTAAGAGTTATGAGGGCTTTGTAGCCGAACTACTCATGAACATTAAGGGTCATTACAATGGCGATAAATTATGGCCACTGTCTCGCGCAATATTTATGTTATCAATTCCGCGGAACGTAGAACACCACGTAGAAGATACAGGGGGCCTCGAACCATAACGATTAGACACTTATTTTGAATTATGCTTATTAAGTCACTTTTGTGAAAATGAGAAAGATAGATAGATAAATCGAGAGAGAGAGAGAGAGAGAGAGAGAGAGAGAGAGAGAGAGAGAGAGAGAGAGAGGGTTTTACTCTTTCTTGCTTATTTATTTATTTCTTTTTTTTTTTTATCCTCTCTTGCTAGAAAAAAGAAGACGTTTGAAATTTCGAGTAAACTAATTTTTTACGCTGCTACCTCTTAATTGAAAGTTATAAATACTAAAGTCTTAAAGAAAATACACTAACTCCTCTCCTCTCTTAAATCTTATTACTTCTTGTGTCCATTAAGGTTGCATTTCACGTTTTATTATAAAAAAATAAGAAAATTCGGTAAAAAGAAGAAGATTAATGATGTATTATTATTCTCTCTCTCTCTCTCTCTTTCTTTCTTTCTTTCTTTCTCGAGTAAATGTTTCAAGCTCGACATTGGAAAATACATGAAATCTTGTATTCTTTCTTTAGTTTATCGAAAATGTTTACGTCTACTTCTTAAACTCCTTATCATACTCTTTGTCCCTTAGTACGTATACCAATGTGCAATAGTAACGATGGTAATGTTTGGTGGTGGTAGTGATAGTGGTATATACAGGATCCGACAGAATAAAATAGCAGTGAAATCCAGCGTGAGATATTTCTTCCTTCCCCTTGTGAATTTCATCCACTTCTTCCGACTCTGGCTCTAACAATCCTGGCCGCCGCCCTCCGTTAACTGAAACTGAATTCCTACCCCATTATTCGGCCCAACTTTTTTCCACTGTTTCCGGTAACGCGCAAGAACCATTCGAGCAGCCATTACACATGAATTCGTATTTGAAATACGTGGATAGTTGAGAGAGAAAGAGAAAGGGTACCCGTTCCCGTTGTTGCTGGTTCATTCTTCAAACAGATTTAATATTCTAATATGGGGGTTGGTTTTGCTCCGAAAAAATTCTTAAGATATTTGAAATATCAATTATTGGCCTCTTTTTTTCTAATAATTATCGAGAAGTTTTGAATTGATATAGAAATGATATTGGAACACATCTCTAAGAACTTTCGGAACTATACTAAACGAATTTGTAATTCCTCCTAAATGGTGAATGTATATATATTTTCTTTTTCACCATAAAATAATTTATAGATCTACTTGGAAAATATTGAATCGGTTAAAAAAAGATATTTGTTACACAACCTATATAATGTGTGAATATTATATATATATATTTTTTTCGTCGTAAAATAATTTCTATTATTTTAATATATGCGCGGGGAGAAATAGTTATTTTTCATTGAAGATCTTTCTTCCTTCCCCTTTTTAACGTTTCCCTTTCAACAAGTGAAAATATATTCGCTCGACAGTTACCCAAAGAGCTTTCGATCTGTCGTCATTAAACAAGAAGACGAATTTATCACGAAAGAGCATACGAGTTTTGATCGATATAAAGCAACTTTTCGAAAGATTCGCTAACATTAATCTCGCAGCTTGTCGCGATTTACACACACACACACACACATAGAAAGAAAGAGAAAGACAGAGCCAGAGACAGACAGACAAACACATACACACGTACGTGTGTCTACGTGTTCACTTTTTTTCTACGCACATCCATGCAAAAATACACATAAAGACACGGGACACGTACAAATACGAATATTCCTTCAATCTGTGCAAAAGAAATTGTTACATTAATATCTTTAACGAAAAATTTCATTTTATGCATGAGAGATCTGAAGAACTTTTTTAATACTACTGTAAGTATATGCTTCTCACCTTTTACTCTAATTATGAGTAATATATAATATTATATACATATTCCAATTGGAAACTTTAAACAAAAGAAATTATAAAAATAAAATTATGATTAAGTTGACGAGTAATATGAAGGGTGAGAGAGAGGGATGGCAGGGGGGAGAAGATGCAACTAATTATTACATATTATTTTGTTTAACTTATCGGACAGAATAATCTGTTACAAGTGTCTCATATCGAATTTTGGCATCACACACAAACATATTTATAACAAAAGATATTTCTCTACGTGTATTATTATAATTTGAGAACAGGTGGAAAATGTGTAACATGGCAAGTTTTATGGTTATATGTATTAATACGCATAATTACGCAAAATTTTAATTAAAACAACACACATCAGGGAATATATATATTATATTTTTTTTTTGCGTTCGCATCATTTCGCTTGGAATAAAAAGAAAAAAAAAAAAAAAAAAAAAAAAAAAAAAAAAAAAATGAGAATTTTTTTTCGTCGACCTCAATATATTTATTCAAACATTAATATGAAGAAAAATTATTATCGAGAGAAAATGATCTTTAAAAAAATAAAAAATAAAAAAATAACCACAGAAATAATTTGAAATCATTATGATTCAACACTTAATCATTTTACAATATATTTTCCCATCAATTTTTCTTCTTATAGAACGGAACGATTGAATCGATTAGTCTGAAAATACGAAGCTTTGTAAAAAACAAACAAAAACAAACAAACAAACAAAAAAATATAAAACCATAAAACATTATCCATATTCAAACATTTTCCTTTGATTAAATAACGTATATGGTTAATAAAAATAAACGAATCGCTAATTATTTGCCTTTTTTATCAAATTCTAGCTCTTTTTAACTTCCTTTTCTCTCTTTCTCTCTCTCTCTCTCTCTCTTTAATTTTATACATAAAGAGGTATAAACAAAAAAAGAGAAAGTAAGATAGAAAAGGAGAAATACTAAAAGTCATCACGTATCAACGACGAATGAAAAGAAAATAAAAAAGTGACGTTACGATCAGAAACATTTTCCTCTCCGTCGCTCATCATTGGATGGACAACGAGAAACAAGACTGGGCATGTAAAATAAAATGGGTTCGGCAAAAATGTTGCATTCGGTAAAATAGAGAAAAATAGAAATACATATATAAAATGAAACAGGGAAGGAAATAAAGAGAAAGAGAGAGAGAGAGAGAGAGAGAAACAGAGAGGTACAAAGAGAGGAAAAAAAATATATATATGTATACATAGGGATAGGGGAGGGGGAAGAGAGTTTTTTGCGAATGCTATTTGAAAGTGTCAGGAACGTTGAAATTTGAAATTACCATGCGTGGGCGTGGAACGATGACTGTACCGGCTGTCGCGAGTGTGATCGAGCACCAACACACAAATACGTGCTATCTATGTATGTATATATATATGTGTATGTAAATATGTATATGTAGATAGAGATAGATAGAGATACATGAAATACATACAAATAAACATAGGTATAGCTATTAGAGAAACACGGGATAGAACGACGAATTAGTGTACATTAACGATCGTGAATAACGCTTTGCACGCTTTGAATGAATGTCATTTTCTAGATATGATTATGCATCCTTTGTTTTCTATCTTTTATTCCTTTTCGTTTTGTTTCATAAAAAATAATTAACTGAAGCGAGACAATTTCTTTCTTTCTGTCATTCTCGCCCTCTCTCTCTCACCCTCTCGTTTTCTTTCATCTCATTTCTTCTATCCCAAGAGAGAAAGAGAAAACGAAAACAATGATAAGAAATAAAAAATAAAGAGCATACAACTCTCCGTGTGCGCATTAACTCCGAACTGTTTTGACAAGCTTAGGGAAAAGTAGTCTCGTGGGTAGATGGTGCATATATGTATGTATGTATATGCATATGTACATTCTGTGTATATATATGTACAACTGAGGATTTCGTGCAGCAGAGATTTATTTTACCCGCGATTAAGATAATGCGAGAAAATTCATTTCAATTTCGTACTTGTGGGTAAGAACAAAAGCATCGATTCCTTCCATCTCCAATAACAAACAACAACCAACAACAACAAACAACAACAGGAACAGTAAACAACGAAGAATGAAACGAAGAATGAAAGAAAGAAAGAAGGAAAAACAAAAAATAAAAAATAAAACAAAAGTTGTATATATTATACGTTTCTTTCGTAGGAGAACGTGGAAAATGAAATGGGAGGGGTTGTGGTTTACGAGAGAGTAGATAGGAGATAGAAAGACAGCAAGGGGAGGGATGAGTTAAAATGTGGATGGGGTCAGAAGAAGAGTTTTTAACTGGTAGGGGGCTAAATCGCGATGGAATTACCGTAGACTTTGGAATTTAATTCACGGGATGAAGAGAAAAACGTATTTAAAATAAAACACGCGGCACTTTGTCAAAACGAATCGAGTGTAGTAGTCGAGTCAAGTCCGCGAGAAATAACTTACATTTAAATCTCCCATTGGGTTTAGTAACCATTGAGGTGAGGTGAGATGGTGGTGGTGATGGTGATGGTGGTGAAGGTGGAAGAATACGCGTA